CACTTTTAAGTTCATGGCAAAATTGAAGGGAAGTCTTAAAGATTTCCCACATACCCCCGCCTTTCCCCGTGCTCCCCCACTATCACCATCCCCCACTAGAGTGGTTCCTTGGTTACAGCAGTTATTGAACCTAAATTGGCACATCTCTAGCACCCTAAGTCGTAGTTTCCATTAGGGCTGACTCTTTGACTTTTTATTTTTAACGGACCTTTCTCTTAAAAAAGTAGAACTTACAGTAAATAGAATGAGGGCTCTATAAAGAGCCCTCATTTTTCAAGAGTTATAAGAGATAACTCTTTTGAAAAAGTTTTTATTAGGAAAATCTAAAGTGTCTAAACATGTGACATTCCTATGAGCATGTGGCATTTAGTTCCAGGTTTTATAATGTATATGTGATCAAATGAATATGATGGGGCCCCAGAGAGCCACATGGGGAAAGTTGGAAAGGTTCCAGGAGCCCGACTATTTAACAGAAAGGAGATGCTTAGAGTGGATTTCACATCAAGTCTACTTTATAGTAGATATTTTACTCCCTGTTCTAATGACAAAGCAGAGGTATTCCTATTGGGCATAAAATATAGCAGGGAGCTGAGTTACATTTGAGGTGGAGCTCTGTGCCTGTGTGGATGGGTAAAAGATGGAATTTTAACATATGTGCTATGGCTTTTTTGAGAACTTAAAAGTAGTGGATAAATTCACAGAGTATAAAAATATTGAAATGAAAAGGACTAAGAGATCTTTTTCTCTAATCCTATTATTATAGATTAGTGTCAAGCAGATTGTTTACCTGGGATAATTTAGGTGTAGCCATTCCTAAAGGTAAGAGATGTCTTAAATGAGTGCCTGAAAGTTCTTTCCAGAAGCACAGCTCTGTGGCTATGCAAGTCCTGGGTGAAAATGTCATGAACTTTTAATGTAGGTAAATGATGTGTATGTTAGAGGTGAAAAAAATGTGTTTCTAACTCTGAGGGAGTTTAGTGTCAAAGTGTGCTGATATTTTTAACATAAGCTAGATTAGTATGTTAAAATAAGCACCAATGGCTGTGGGAGTTCAGACAGAACAGACTACCTGTGATACTAAGGATCAGAGAAGTCCATAGAAAGAGGCAGCATCATTTAAATTCAGCAGTGATTAGGTGTGAGCATGTTTACTACCTGCACTAAGGATTGCCTTCTTTTTCACTTTTGATTATGAAAACTTTTAGGTATATACAAAACCTAAAAGAACAGTAGAGTGAATGTCTGTATACTCACAGTTAGATTCAACAACTGTTAACATTTTGTGTATTTGTTTTAACTTTGAATTTATAGATGTGCTTATGTGTGTATGGTGTATGTGTTGGTTTTCCTTTTCTTTTCTTTTTCTTTTTTTTTTTTTTTTTTGAGGTGGATTTTTTGCTCTGTTGCTCAGGCTGTAATGCAATAGTGCCATCTCAGCTCACTGCAACCTCCGCCTCCTGGGTTCAAGCGATTCTCCTGCCTCAGCCTCCCGAGTAGCTGGGATCACAGGCACACACCACCATGACTGGCTAATTTTTGTATTTTTGGTAGAGACGGGGTTTCATCATGTTGGCCAGGCTGGTCTCAAGCTCTTGACCTCAGGTGATCCATCTGTCTTGGCCTCCCAAAGTGCTAGGATTACAGGCGTGAGCCACCGCACCCAGCTGTGTGTTGGTTTTTCAAAAAAACATTGGAAAGTAAGTTACAGGCATCATGACTTTTTTTATAAACCCTGATATATCCACTGGCATCTCTTAACACAATTCTGTCTATTCTCCTATATAATCACAATTCTATCAAAATCTGAAGAAAATTAATAAAAATACATTAATGTCATCTAATTTCTATTTTCTATTTCAAACTTTCCTAATTATCTGTATTTTTTACAGGTATTTTTTTTTCCACACCTGGATTTAATCAGGGTTCACACACTACATTTCGTTTTCATAATTCGTAAATCTGTTTTACTCTGAAGCAGCCTGTACTACCTCCCCCTCCCCATGCTCAATTTTTGTTTCATGACATTGATTTTTAAAAGGATCAGACCAGTTTTCTTATAACATTTTGTTGATACCATATCTTGCAAGTATTTTTGTCAACTGGAGATTTTAAAAGTCTTTTAGAAATCAAAATATGTATTTTCTAGGAGATATATTACCAGATTATCTGCTAGCCATGAATATAAAGCCATTGTTCCTGATACACCATTTTCAGTAGATAATGTACTTTAAAATAATCTTTATTTACAAAAATAATGTAAGACAGCTGTAAGATGCTAGAACAATACAAGGTTAGAAATAGAAATATACAAGGTTAGAATTCTATTTAATATCAAGTAGCTCTGAGATAATAATTTTGCCGCACTTACATTCTTTCCTTTTTCTGTGTTTTTGTTTATCACAAAAATTGCAGTCATCTATACATGTTGTTTAAAGTTTGCTTTTTATTTCACTAGTTATGCATTGCGAATGATGTCCCATAGAATATGTAGTAGAGATTGTTTTTGCTGGGAGCAGTGTGTACCAAGCCAGCCACATTCTTTCCTAGGTGTTTACAGTGAGACACACACCCAAATGTAAAGTGCCTGGCTCAGGATTAGAAATGTGGCTTGTGCCCACAGAGCAAATATTTTTCTCTGTTTGAGGCTCTCTGGTTAATGCAGGAATTGAATATTGGCCTCTTCTCTTCTGTGCTTTAATAAGTTGAGGGAAACTCATGAGTAGTAAACACCTAAGGACTGTGTATTTGAATTTTGGCTCCCCCCACTGTTTTTCTTGGGGTTGGGGGTGGGTGGGTCATTTCATATTCTTTTCCGTACCTATCAAGAGATCAGACTGGCTTACCTTAGAGGTAAACATGATACTCTGCCAACATAAAGTGATTTAGAAATGTTAATATATTTTACCAAGCCAGAGTTTCTAGCATATGTATTTTAAGCCATCATAAAACATATACCTGTCATGTTAAGGAATGTGCCCACGGCAAGTATCAAAGACCTGCTGTGGGAGGCTGGGGAATGTGTTTTGCTGTGTTGCAGGGTTATACCCTGACAACCCCTGTGAGGCATGAGGACCGGCAGGGAGTGGTTTGTAAATATTGAAGCCATTTTATTTATTAATTTAAGAATTCCTACAAGTAGTAGCTATTCCTATTTGTACATCCAAGTGTCTTGGGGCTCAGGGGGTAGGTAATTCTGTGTGGGCAGATGGATGAAGAGTATAAATTCTGAGTGGATCTGCCTGAATCTAGTTAACAAAACAATCAGATGAGCAAGAGATAGTCCGTTGGGCTTAATGGAGAACAGAACATTTGGACAGAAAAGCTTTCTGGACATTTCTGGCTTCTTTGAAAGACAAATGTGATGAGCCTCCCAGCAAGATTGCTGGCTCAGGATGGAGGAATAAGGCCACTTTTGTTGTTATTTTATTCTTGTGTTATCCATGGCAATAATGTCATCATTTTCATTTGGTGGGACATCAGGGTGTCAATAAGTCTTGTTACTATAATAGTAAGTTAAATTATCTGTGATTTGGTTACAGGACTTTTGCATCAAGATTTTGTAAAGGAACAAGATGATAGTAGGGTGGTTCCCCACATCTGTCTAAATATTTGTTGAAAAAAGGACAAAGAGTTGTGATTTTTAAGTGCTTTGAAGAATTCATATCTTTCCATTAAAAAAAAAAAATGGAAGTAGCTGGCCAGGTGTGTTGGCTCACGCTTGTAACCCCAGTACTTTGGGAAACCAAAGCAGGTGAATCACATGAGTTCAGGAGTTCAAGACTAGCCTGGCCAACATGGTAAAACCCCATCTCTACTAAAAAAAAAATAATAAAAAATAGGTGTGGTGGCAGGTGCCTGTAATGCCAGCTACTTGGGAAGCTGAGGCAGGAGAATCTCTTGATCCTGAGAGGTGGAGGTTGCACTGAGCCAAGATTGCACCACTGCACTCCAGCCTGGGCAACAAGGTGAGACTGTATCTCAAAAAAAAGAAAAAAAAAAAAAAAAGGAAGTAGCTGATTATATTAAATGCATATTCCCACCACTTTATCATTCATTCTAAGTAAATAATAAAGTGTTTACATAAGACATGAAAATAAAAGTAAATAATGTTGATAAAAGTAAAGAGGCAGTGTTGCAAAGAGTGAGGAGGAATAAGATCAAATTTTAAATTCAGTGAGGCACTTAAGTCATTAAACCTTACTTTTTTCATCTGTAAAATAGACACCATAGGGTTGTTCATGAAGTTGGAATGAGACAATATATTTAGAAATTTAAAAAGCAAAACACTAGTGTTCAAGTTCCACTCCTAGTGGGCTTTTTAATTTGTATTTTATTTTATTTTTTTTTTATTTGAGACAGAATCTTACTCTGTTGCCGGAGCTGGAGTGCAGTGGCATGATCATGGATCACTGCAGCCTTGGCCTCCCAGGCTCAAGAGAGCCTCCCATCTCAGCCTCCCAAGTAGCTGGGACTACAGGCACATGCCATCATGCCTGGCTAATTTTTTTTATTTTTATTTTTATTTTTGTAGAGACAGGGTCTCATTGTGTTGTCCAGGCTGGTGTTGGACTCCAGGGCTTAAGTAACCCTTCGGCCTCAACCTCCCAAAATGCTGGGATTATAGGCACGAGTCACCACGCCCAGCCTCCTAGCACTTTCTTGAGTGGACAGTATTGCATAGTGAAAAAAGCATGTGAACTGAAGTTATGTAGACATTGGTTTAAATTCTGGCTTTGCCATTTACACTGTGCACCTGTGAATGAATTCTTTAATCTCTTTGAACCTTCATTTCTTCAACTGTAAAGTAGCTTTTATCGTATCACCCTTGTAAGATAAGGCATAGGGCATGGGCTCTGCCAAGACACTTAGGAGTTCCAGAACTTGCAGCTTATCAAATCTGGATGGTGATCTGTTGGCAGGGGGGTGTGCGCTTCTGTGTGTGTGGAATATTGGTACCATTGACAGGTCCCTTCTGGAGTATGACCGTGGTGTTTCTTTTGCATTTACAGCTATCTTCCAGAGGGCCACACTGGGCATGGACACCCTTTTCCCTACCTGGAGGAGCACAGGTGATAGTGTAATTTTCCAGTCACGAAACTGTTAAGGCCGTCTCAGGGGCGTGTGCGCCAGGATAGGAGGGCGGCATCCGAGGACCACATAGCCATGCCTTTTGGTCTGAAGCTCCGCCGGACACGGCGCTACAACGTCCTGAGCAAGAACTGCTTTGTTACACGGATTCGCCTGCTGGACAGCAATGTTATCGAGTGCACTCTATCGGTGGAAAGCACAGGGCAAGAATGCCTGGAGGCTGTGGCCCAGAGACTGGAGCTGCGAGAGGTAAGGGGGTGTGTCTGTGTGCGCATGCGCGCATGCATGCGTGTTGGATATGTGAAGGAGAACTCACCAAAGGGACCAGCCATCTGTTTCTTGGCATCTGTCATGTTTTTTGGCCTAAGCGACAATGTGTTTATAAGAATCCTGTTATTCTTAGCATGGCTGTGATCTTATCCGTCATTGGATGGGGAGATTCGTGCTGATGTGAACCACGCCTAGAGCTGCATGGCGTGGCAGGTTTCCTTTTATTTCAGCTGGGGAAGAGGTTTTGGGGGAGTTGAAAATGAGAGACTCTCCCTACCAAAGTCATTTTCTCTCTTTAAAACAACTGAGTGGGTAGCTGGTATTTTGGCATTCTGGCTGCATATTAAGGAGAAAAACGCCCACATACGGATGCATGCAGCTGCCTTTTTTTTTTTTTTTTTTTTTTTTTTTTTTCTGTATTTTCCTCTTAAAAAAAAAAAAAAAAACCCACCAAATAAAGAGAAAAAGCATTTAGAGTGAGCATGACCAGTGAGGCTTTTTGTGGGAGCCTGTAAAACAGAGGTTTTGTTCCTTTTAAGATTCCTCACAGCCCTCGTTGCCTTCATGCTGTCTGTGAAATGACTTTTAAGCAAAAGCAGGGCTGACCACTAAGAAAGTCATGCTATCATTCTTTAGAAGGGACTTTCAGAGCAGTTGTTTATGACAGCCAAGCCCTTCTTTTTTCAGTTGTACAGACATTCAGGACAAGAGACTTTTGTGAGCAATCCACACTTCAGCATCTGTGTCTTGAGAGCTGTCTGACATATTGATCAGTGGGGAAGGTGGTCTGGTTGAGTGGTTGCCAGTACTGAATGACTGCAAGCTCCTGAGGCTCAGACCTTCCTGAGGGCAAGGGAAAGCTGTATATCATTGTCCTAGGTCCCTGGGCTCTTGGAGAGTCCAAGTGACAGCATTGCCCAGGACCTCGATGACAGAAGAGGGGTGGCAATCACTGTTGGAAGTGATTGTATGTGACCTCTCTCCACCTGCTTACAAAGGAGTTGGGGCCCAGGAGGATCTTCCTCTCCCCTTTCCTGCTCTGAAAGTCCCTTCTAAAGACATCTTCCACAGGCTAGCTGTTTTTCTCTGAGAAACTGTTTCACCTGAAATGCATCTGTCTCCTGCTGTTCTTTGTGTTTATACTTTGGTTTCAGTGATCAGGTATTCCTTTTAGGTATATTTTTCTGTGCAGGAGACTGTCTTGGACAATGGAGGTATGTATTAGTAGCTTGGTAACTGCCACAGTAGAATAAATGTGTGAAATGTTCTCATCTTGTTGATTGGTAGCTGGCTGTCTTTTTCTCGTTGGTAACACATTAGGGTACACACATTTAAACACACATTTGCATATGTGCATGGGCATAAAGGAAAAACTTAAATGCTGGTTGGGGAAGAGACTTGTCTAAGTTCTTATAGAAAATTAGTATTTTTACTTTTAAGTACTTTCAGTCACTCAAATTAGAGCAACTAATTATTCCTCACATGCGTTGGGGGACAGTGTAGCATGTGGTTAAGTAGTTACAAGTATAGGCATTGGAATTTGGTCTTGGGTCCAGCTCACTCTTCTGTCATTTATTAGCTGGGTGACAATGGAAAAGTTACCGAATCTTTCGAGGCATAAGTTTCCTACCTATAAAATGGGAATAATAATGCTTACTTCCTAGGGCTGTTGTAAATATTAAAAGAGTTCCTGTATGGAAAATGTATAGTGCTGCGTTTAATAATTTATAATTGTTCAAATTTGAGTCTTAATAAACAACTTAAAAAAAAACCATTTTTTGTTAAAGAAAATATTGAACATCTTGTGCCAGACACTTTTTTAGAACTTGGTGAAATGAAGATAAATAAGGTACAATTTTACCTTCAAGACATGCACACAACAGTAGGGGAGTCCAGCCTTTAAATAAACAGTGAATATTGAATGTGGTCCGAGCTAAAATAGAATGCAAGGGTAGGCCCAAAAGGCGATGGCTGTCCTTAGTGTTGTGCAGTGCGCAGTCCAGCCCACTGAACACTGCAGTCTTGCTGGTGAGAGAGAAAGAGTTGATGGAAGATGAACAACGCCTTCACTCTGAACCAAGACTTGAAGGATATGTTTGAATCCAGCAGGTAGAAAAGAAGGCCATATCGTCTTTAGTGTGGGGAACTGGATTATCAAAGATTCAAGGATGTGAAAGAGCAGCCAACATTTTGGGGGCTGAGAAGGCATTGCTCCAAATCACCAGGTCAAGCTAGAGTTTATAACGAATGGTGTGTGGAGATGTGTGTGGTAATAATGGCTTTCAACAGACCATTGTTTTTCTCAGTGAGAAGGCAAAAGTCAACCCTGGGTCATCCTACAACTACCTTATCACAAAGAATAAAGCAGTGCAGTGCCAAGTGTGTGTATAGTGTGATTGACGTTCCATTGCTGAGGTGGGGTTTGCGTTTAATACCGACTTTATTTTGACATGCCCTAATGGGTGCATCCGCATTCGACCAAATCACTTTCTTTTTGAATTTTGTGCTTTCCTTCCATGACAGACAACATTGAAGTTGTGCCCTTTTGTGAATCAATCCTCTAGATACTCCTGAATTAAAGGATCAGCTAGAGTAATCTGATACTTTTCTTCCTTTGCACAAACACATCTTAAAGAAGAATGCATCCTCCACCCAAAAGCAGAAGTAAGAGGAGGTGAACAAGGGGTCTGATCCTCATACCTTGAATTTGTATTTGGGTCATTTTTCAAATAGAGCCAATGCTGCTTTAGAGGAGAAGGTGACAACCAATCTAAGATATAAGAAAAAGTTTAGTCTTTTTTGGGAGGAGTGTTGGGGCCTAACTCTATTGCGCAAGATGGAGTGCAGTGGCGTGATCATGGCTCATTCAGCCTCCACCTCCTGGCTCAAGTGATCTTCCTACCTTGGTCTCCCAAAGTGCTGGGATTACAGGTGTGAGCCACACACTCAGCCAAAATATATTTAATCTTTTTTTTTTTTTTTTCAATTGAGATAGGGTCTTGCTCTATTGCCCAGACTGGAGTGCAGTGGTACGATCATGACTTACTACAGCTTCAAGCTCATGGGCTCAAGTGATCCTCCCACCTCAGCCTCCCAAGTGGCTGAGACTACAGGCACATGCCACCATGCCCAGCAAATTTTTAATTTTTTTTGTACGGATGGGATCTCACTCTATTGCCCAGGCTGGTCTCAAACTCCTGGGCTCAAACGATCCTCCCAAATTGCTGGGATTATGGATGTGAGACACTGTGCCCAGGTCAATATGTTTAGCCTTTATGAAGACTTAGAAACTAGATTATGGTGGATATTTGGCTTTGCCATTAGAAGTAGTTTAGGTATATCATAAATTTTGTAATAGCTTTATATTAGGAAAGGATGTATAGTAGATTAAAATTTTTTTGATTAATTTTTTTATTTACATTAATTGTTTTGCCACTATATTTTATTAGATAATTTTTAATAGACTTTATTTTTAGTTTTAAGACTTTGATTTCTTAGAGCACTTTTAGATTCACAGTAAAATTGAGAGGAAGGTACAGAGAATTTCCATATACCCCTGGCCCCATGCATGTACATCCTCCTCCACTATCAACATCACTCCCAGAGTGGCACATTTGTTATGATTATTGAACCTACATTGACACATCATTATCACCCAGAGTCCAGAGTTTACATTAGGGCTTATTTTTGGTATTGTACATTCTATAGATTTGGACAAATGTGATATGCTCCTATTTAACATGGCATTCAGAAGGGCCCAAGCCTGGTTCCTATTGTCAGCAAAGAGTCATGTCTGGGAAAGCTGAATGTGATAGGGTCCCTGCTCCCAGAAACCAGATATAGTCTTTGCTCCTAGAGTTTAGAGAACAGGACAAACAAGAAACAAGGCAAAGGGAACGGCTTGTGCTGAGGTACAGAAACAGGAAAGAACATGGAATTTTTAGGGAAAGGCGAAATTCAGTTTGCACTGATGTGTGTGTGTGTGTGTGTGTGTTGGAATTTTCAGGGAAAGGCAGAGTTCAGTTTGCACTGATCTCTGTCTCTGTGTGTGTGTGTTGGAATTTTCTGGAAGAGGCAGAGTTCAGCTTGCACTGATCTGTGTGTGTGGCAGGGGGGAGGGTATTTTCAGGGAAAGGCAGAGTTCAGTTTGTTTGCACTGGTGTGTGTGTTGTGTGTGTGGTGTGTGTGTGTGTGTGTGTGTGTGTGTGAGAGAAAGGGGTCATGAAGGGAAGAGGGTACAGGAGGAAGGGGCAGGACGGAGTCTGTTTTTGCAGGGTTTGCTGTGTCTGCCTAGGGAGTTTTAACTAGATCTATAGGACAGTATTTCTAAAATAAGTTACAAAGGGTAATTACCACCTTTTGATTGTATGTACTCTGCTGAGCAGTTTCCATATATCAGCTCGTGTAGCCCTCATAACGAGTCTGTGATGCATCCCTACCCTTGCTGTTGCTATCTTACAGATGGGGAGGCTACAGCATAGGGTGACCTGCCCACAGTCACTAGGCTGGCAAGTTGTGAGGCCAGTTCAAACCCTGGCAGGCTGACACCACTGTTCCAGTTCCCGGGGATGTGTAGTGGGGGAACAGGGAGCATGGTAAAATGCTTTGGGAAACACTCTCTCCTCAATTCTATAGTAAAAGAAAGAAAATGGTGGTCCAATAAGTGTTTCACGGTTGTCTTAGCCTTCCAGAAAATGCTCTTTTGAACTATGTGGGGAATAAAACACTGCTGTGAAGTATAAGTTATCAGAGGACTCCAAGGAGGAGCATGACATGGTTACCTTGCATGTTAGGTAAAGAACTCAGTAGTAGGAAAGAGTGGGGATCGGCCAGACACAGTGGCTCACTCCTGTAATCCCAGCACTTTGGGAGGCGGAGGCAGGTGGATCACAAGGTCAGGAGATCGAGACCATCCTGGCCAACATAGTGAAACCCTGTCCCTCCTAAAATACAAAACTTAGCTGGGCGTGGTGGCACAT